TATTGGGCATAAATCCATGTTGTCTATTGTTTGGTTTCCTCTGGTGTGTTAAAAAGGTTATAAATCTTGAATTTAAATTTTTCTTCAGTAGTTTCCCGGTAATTTATAATAATGATATTGGCCAGTAGTTAAATATTTCCTTATTGTCCTTACCTTCCTTGGGAATAAATATAATATTAGTGTATTTTAGTTTGTCTGGAAAGTAATCCGTTATTAAGCATGCGTTATAGATGTTCAATAATGTTTTAAAGACGTTTTCCGGTAGATTTATGATCATATTTCGTGTAATACCTGCGAGACCTGGGGCTTTTTCTTTAAATTTCCCCACACAGTGCATCATTTCTCCCATAGTTATTATTTGATTATTAGGTAGTAAGTTATAGTCTATACTGTATATTGCTTTGGAGTGATTCTATGTATTTGTCTTCCCATTTCATCTTCTATCCTTTCTTCATGTTCACTATCAAAATCTTCATTTTCCTCATCTGATATTTTAAAAACTTGTACCCATTCCCCTTTGAATGCTGACTCTTGTTCTTTTTCCTCGTACTGTTTTGTTCCATTATGGTCTTGAATGTATGATGTTTTTTGCTTTTTTATGCCCCATTTTCTTGTTTATGGAAGTCCAAAATGTTTTTGTGTCTTTAGTCATGTCAGCCGCCATTATAATATCATTCCATTTTTTGTTGTTTGCTTCCTTACCTGCGTCTCTTAATTTTATCTGTAGTGCTATCTGTGTCGTATATAGCCATCTGTTACTGCCGTGTCTTTCCATATATCTGTTTATTTCATTGTAATGGGTTTGGATTAATTTAACTTCTTCTGTTAGTCTGTTGTTGGGTAATATTCTAAAGTGTGAAGTAGGAGTGTGTTTGGTTGTAGATGTTTTTATTGCTGAGTACAGTCTCCATTTCTGAGTCTATGTCTTCTGTTGTTTTCCCTTGCAGGTAAATCGAATGGTGATTACCTAAGTCTTCTTTGTAGCTGTCCCAGTTTGTTTTACTCATTTTCAGTCTCTTTTTTATTGGTATCTGTATGGGGCTTGTTGACAGTGTTAGTTTAATTGGTAGATGGTTGCTGCCTGTGAGAGGTCCTTGTTTTATATGATAATTGAAAAAGGCTTTGTTTTTGGTTAAAAATTTAGTCTGAATTTACAGGGACTGAGAGATGTTCCCTTTTTTTTCGCCCCCCAGGCCCCGTTGTAGGTCGTTTAACCTGTGCCCGGGTGGGCTAATTCCCTAAAAAAAAATAATAAAAAATTACAAAGGGTGATCTTACATAACATCAGGTCAGGTCAATAACATAGGATCCACTAATCCACACACCACTTGTACCGCACACGAAAGAAGAGCTTATAAAAAGTGGGCGACGCAATAAGTCATGTCAAATCAGGTCAAAAACATGAGACCCACTATTAACCACTAATCATCCTTATTGGCTCGTTTTCTGAATTCCCTTTACATTCTCACAGAAGTTTCCTTTATTAATCGGTGAGCCTCTCTCATTACTCGCATTCTCTACTACAGGTAAATCAATGCCCACTTGTCTCTGTGCATGTCTTGAAAAGAAAGCAGAGTACGGTTGCACTCCAGTAGTAGTGTACACGCGGTGTTTAAAGCGCTTTGAGAAGGGTTATCTTTATACATGATTGCAAAGATGGATTTAAACGTTCGGTGCATTCTTTCAGTAATACTGTTACCTCAGGGATGGTAAGGCAATGCAAAATATGTTTTAATGTTGCTCATTCTACAAAATTCCTTAAACTGTGCAGCCGTAACCGCCCCCCCCCCTTCCATTATCTGCAATCACCAATCACTTCTTGGGTCGTCTTAGTATGTAGACTGTAGAGGGTAGAAATTAACAAATCTAGAGTAATGGTCAATGACTGTTAGCACTAACAGGTAATTTGACACCAGCATGCATGTCAATCAAGTCGACAGAAATTCGCTCTGGAGGTTTGGTAACTACTGGCATCCACCTCAAATGCTTTCAAAGCATTTTTAACCGTATGCCACTGATAAATAAATTTATGTAACATATTATTAGTTTTGTGCTGACCAACACTAAGGTTTATAGAATTCATTTCTCAAATCAAACTTGCTTCAACCAGAAGACTTTCTGTGACACATGTTGATTTATACACTTCTATACTGTTTTCCCAATCCATGGTATGATTATTGTTCCTAATATGAACGAAAAGTGTACTGCTTTCAGATGTAGTTCTAATATTATACTGGTGTTGTTTTATTCTAAGTTGTAATGCTTTCTGCTATGGTTTTGAGATGTTTGCAAATTTGTGACCCTGAATATATTGAAGAACTGCAAAACATTCAGTTCATTGCACAAAATCTTCGTTTTTTTTTACGGGGAATAGCCCACCTGGGCACAGGTCATTAAAATAGAAAAGAAAAAGATATTATTTACACCACGAAGATGCCGGAAAACCATTTTTTTGAAGTGAGACAGATTGTATGAGTATGGAAACACAGAAGAAGGCAGAGCATTCCACAGTTTGGCTGTGTGAGGAAAGAAGGATGCACTATAACGGGTTATTCTAGTGTGACCGACATCCACAGAGAAACGGTTGGCACCGCGGGCAAGACGAGTGTTCGTACGAGCCCACGGCCTTGCCGGCAGTACACAGGATGCCTAATCCATCGAACATTGCCCGTTAAAGTACCTGAAGAAGAGAGAGAGAGAGTGAAGCAACGTTGCGGCGAAGAGAAAGTGAAGAAAGATTATCAACTAAAGGGGGAGAGTCAATAAGACGAAATGCCTTTGATTCCACACTACCTAACAGTTGGACAGAAGAAGAGTCACCCCAGATAATGAGAGCAGTACTCCAAGTTAAGACGAATGAATCCCTTATAAACTTGAAGAAATTGCTCAGGAATGAAGTAACTACGGCATCTGTACAGCATTCCCAGCTTTCAGGAGGCAGCTTTAGCAATGTTGTGGATGTGTGGCTTCCATGACATTAGAGGAAATGGTGAGGCCTAGCATATTCATTTTAGAACTTGGCAGAATGAATGTGTCCTGAAATGTGATTGGTGGGAGATCATTTAATTTGGGAAGTGTAATTGGTAAATACTGATTTTATTACTATTGAATTTAACCAAGTTTCTACCTCCCCACTCGGAGATGCTGCACAGATCCGCATTGATAGATGAAATTATATCAGCTCTTGAAACAAATCTAATTTGAGAATTAGGGGGAAGTGAAAAATGTGAAGAATAGTGAAGAGTAGAATCATCAGCGTAAGAATGGATAGAATTAGTCGTAATGTGAAGTAAATCATCGATAAAAAGAAGGAAGAGAGTAGTTGAAAGAACAGAACCCTGTGGGACACCACTATTGGTAGAGAGAGCGAGAGAATCCATTAGAGGTAAGTTTAGAAACCAAAGACTTGTGTCATACCCTGTCAAATGCTTTGGAGATGTCGAGGGCCACGACGAAAATTTCCCCATAATCCCTAAGAGAGGATGACCAAAGATGGGTGCAGTAGGAGAGCAGATCACCAGTAGATCTCGCTTGGCAAAAGCCATACTGGTGATCCGACAAAAGAGAATGGCGTTTAAGGTGACGGAGAAAATGAGAGTTTAAGATAGTTTCGAAAATCTTAGAGAGGGATGAAGTTAAGGCAATGGGGCGACAGTTAGATGGATTGGAATGGTCACCCTTCTTCGGGATGGGCTGGACAAAGGCTAAGAAATCCCTTTATTGTATCACATTGAACACTTGAATTGTGTACCACAATAGATGTTGGACATTTTTCTAACTGTCTTCCCAATTATGTTCAACATCTTCAGTCACACCATTCAGCTGCTGATTGATGTCGATCCATGATAACTTGACATACAGTAGTAAGCAATACACAAACAAGGGTGCTATACACTGGTGGACCTGCGGGTCTTACGGAGCAGATGGACTTAACTTCTTTTCTCTGAGGGTTTGTAACCATGTTCTCTGATTTGGCTTCTCCTCCATGTTGACAAGCGTGTCCTAAAGTTTGGAACGACTGTGTTGACATCAGCAGTTGTAAGTTCATGTCCATCTTTTGTGGAGAGTAACGCTTATCTGGAATTTTGAGGAGCTTGAGCTCGTGATAAACTTGTCGCTCAGAGTAGGGAGAAGTGCTGACGAGCTGAGGATGGCGGGACGGTAGGCTGCCTGCTCTGGTTTACTCTCAGCTTCTTGAGTATTTACCACCCATACTGGCCACGGTTCTTATCATAATTAACGTCTGTCAAGGTGGAGCTTTTCTTATTAAGAAGACGTGTTAATGTTTAACCTGGCCGAGCAACCGAGTAGTTGTCCAGTAATGCCCTCTGCGTCTGCACCAGTTTGAGAGCCATGTTTATTTTTTTAATGTTTGTCCTGAAGAAAATTATCCCCTTTTAAGGGAATAACCCTTATTAAGTGTGCGGGAGACAATATACACTGTATTGGTATAAGGTATTGTGTCATTGTTGAGACGGCAGTGTAGGGCAGGTCACTGCTTGTGTACACGTGCGTGCGTGCGTGTGTGTGTGCGCGCGTGTGCGCGCGCCCCAGCCAGCCATCACTTGGTACAAATAAAGGTGTGGAGTTATTTTTAACTACAGCGAAGGTATAAGTAAGGGTATGGTATAACGGGTGTTGTAATGAGTATTTGTTTATTATTGATAACTTTTTGTAACTTCACAATATGTTCCTTTATCATCAGGAGCAGGGCTAAATGGAAGGCACAAACGCCGCAGCTGTGACACACTTTACTCATGCTACAGCAGCACCCAAGTGTTTCTGCTACACTTATTTATCACACATGAGGTCTTTCACCTGGCAGGATGAGAAAGATAATATTTATAACAATTTAGAGTAACTAAATAAGTATGAAATTTATCTTGTAGTGTAAACGTGTGTTAAAAATTAATATTAGTTATATGGTTTTAGCTCTGACACTATCATGATGGCCGAAGACTTGATGATACAGTATTAAGAGTGTGTTTGTTGTGTTGCAGGATGGTGTGTAAGTGATGGGGACGGCGGAGCAACAGAAGGAGCACTCAGGGGTGTCCGGGTCCTCAAGCCTGGAGTGTGGAGAGGAGGAGGTGGGGAGTGTGCGGCCCCCTGTGTCCCGTGGCTCATCCACTGGTGTGGCCGCTGCCGCCTCCAACACCAGCAGCGGGAGCGGTGCCTCTGGCAGCCGCCGCGGGAGAGCCTCCCCTACTAGTGCCTTGGGGCGTGTCCCGCTTACCAGACTCTGTGAAGAAAAACGTGCTAGACGTTGTCGCTTTTACCGAAATGGCGACCGTTGGTTTGGCGGGTCGGTGGTGGCGGTGGGCGGAGACAAGCACCGCTCGTGGGAGGCGCTGCTGGCTGACTTAACACGTGTGTTAGACCACCCGATACACCTCACAGCTGGGGTGCGTCACGTGTTTGCGCTAGATGGCACCCGCATAACTCAGCTTGACCAGATTGTTGAGGCCAGCGAGTACGTGGTGTCCTCTTCGGAAACATTAAAAAAACTGGATTACTCTCGCGCTCGTTTACCACAGTGGCGGGCTAACGCACGGCGCAACGAGGCACTACACGTAACACCGCGCACCGCGTACGCCTCCCCTGTGTCCACACCCGGCAGCGAGGCGCCCCCGAGCCTCATTGGTTCTACCATATCCAATGACTCACCCAAGGATTTCATCCGTCCTAAACTGGTGACGGTGATCCGTAACGGCGTGCGGCCCCGTAAGGCTGTGCGGATACTCCTAAATCGACGCACCGCCCGCAGCCTTGAGCAGGTACTCTCTGACATCACACACGCCATCAAGCTAGACACGGGAGCTGTCAGGAAGATCTTCACCCTCGACGGCAGACAGGTGAGTACACGGCTTTGTGTGTTTTTTGTTACCTTGTTCTTACCACTACACGTGTTGTGGTACAAGGTTGTTATACCACTACACGTGTTGTGGTACAAGGTTGGTGTACCACTACACTTGTTGTGGTACAAGGTTGTTATATCACTACACCTGTTGTGGTACAAGGCTGATATACCACTACACGTGCTGTGGTGCATGATATATATACCTGCGGGTGTTGGACAGCGTGTGACATGAACGCCCTGTAACATGAATACCAACACCCTCAAAACTCTATAATGCACTGATATTACGCCATTGTACCTATATAACTACCATAGGGGTGTACTCTCTCTCTCTTTCTCTCTCAGAGCAAGAGTGCGGTTATTAGGGCCATATTATCTTTTTAACTGGGCAGGATAGGGTAGTTGTGGCCATGTTCTCTCGTTAATTGGGCAGGATAGGGTGGTTCTCTTGTAAACTGGCCAGGGTAGGGTGGTTGGGGCCACATTCTCTTGTTAACTGGCCAAGGGTAGGGTGGTTGGGGCCACGTTATTTCGTTAACTGGCCAGGGTAGGGTGGTTGGGGCCACGTTCTCATGTTAACTGGCAAGGGTAGGGTGGTTGGGGCCACGTTCTCATGTTAACTGGCCAGGGTAGGGTGGTTGGGGCCACATTCTCTTGATAACTAGCCAGGGTAGGGTGGTTGGGGCCACATTCTCTTGTTAACTGGCCAGGGTAGGGTGGTTGGGGCCACGTTATTTTGTTAACCGGCCAGGGAACGATGGTTGGCCACGTTCTCATGTTAACTGGCCAGGTAGGGTGGTTGGCCACGTTTTCTTGTTAATTGGGAAAGGGTGGGTGGTTAGAGCCACGTTCTCTGTTAACTGGCCAGTAGGGTGGTTGGGGCCACGTTCTCTTGTTAACTGGCCAGGTAGGGCCACGTTCTCTTGTTAACTGGCCAGGTAGGGTGGTTGGGGCCACATTCTCTTGTTAACTGGCCAGGGTAGGGTGGTTGGCCACATTCTTGTTAACTGGCCAGGGTAGGGTGGTTAGCCACGTTATTTTGTTAACTGGCCAGGGTACGATGGTTGGGGCCACGTTCTCATGTTAACCTGGCCAGGTAGGGTGGTTAGCCACGCTTTGTTAACTGCTGGTTAGCCACGTTCTCTGTTAACCGGCCAGGTAGGGTGGTTGGGGCCACGTTCGTTAACCTGGCCGGGCGTAGGGTTGGGGCCACGTTCTTGTTAACTAGCCGGTAGGTAATGTTCTCTTGTTAACCGGGCCAAGGTAGCCACGTTCTCTTGTTAACTAGCCAAGGTAGGGCCACGTTCTCTTGTTAACTGGCCAGGGTAGGTGGTTGGGGCCACGTTCTTTTGTAAACTGCCAGGTTAGGCCATTCTCTTGTTAACTGGCCAGGTAGGTGGTTGGGCCACGTCGCTGTAGGGTGGTTAGGGCCACGTTCTCTTGTTAACTGGCCAGGGGAGGATGGTTGAGGCCATTTTTCTTTAACTGGCCAGGTAGGGTGGTTGGGGCCATGTTATCTTGTTAACTGCTGGATAGGGCCACGTTCTCTTGTTAACTGGCCAGGTAGGGTGATTGGGGCCATGCTCTCTTAACTGGCCAGGGTAGGTAGTTGGGGCCACTCTTAACTGGCCAGGGTAGGGTGTTGGGGCCATACTCTCTAACTGGCCAGGGTAGGTGGTTGGCCATACTTCTTAACTGGCCAGGTAGGGGCTGTAACATGCCTCTTAACTGCCAGTAGGGTGGTTGGGGCCATGCTCTAACTGGCCAGGTAGGGTAGTTGGGGGCCATACTCTTAACTGGCCAGGTAGGTGATTGGGGCCATGCTCTTAACTGGCCAGGTAGGTAGTTGGGGCCATACTCTTTAACTGGCCAGGTAGGGGTTGTTAAAATTGCTCTCTTAACTGGCCAGGGTAGGGTGATTGGGGCCATGCCTCTTACAAGCTGGAGGGTAGGTAGTTGGGGCCATACTCTCTTAACTGGCCAGGTAGGGTTGTTGGGGCCACTTCAACTGGCCAGGGGTAGGGTGGTTAGCCATACCTCAACTGGCCAGGTAGGTGTAGGGGCCATGCCTCTTAACTGGCCAGGGTAGGGTGGTTGGGCCATACTCTCTTAACTGGCCAGTAGGGTGTTTGGGGCCATGCCTCTCAACCGGCCAGGGTAGGGTGGTTGGGGCCATACTTCTTAACCGGCCAGGGTAGTGGTTGGGGCCATACCTCTTAACTGGCCAGTAGGGTGGTTGGGGCCATACTCTAACTGGCCAGGTAGGTGGCTGAGGCCATACTTAACTGGCCAGGTAGGGTTGTAAGGGCCATACTCTCTTAACTGGCCAGAGGTAGGTGGTTGGGGCCATACTCTTAACTGGCCAGGTTGGGTGGTTGGGGCCATACTCTTAACCTGCCAGGGTAGGGTGGTTGAGGCCATACTCTCCTGAACTGGCCAGGGTAGGGTTGTAGGGGCCATGCTCTCTTAACTGGCCAGGGTAGGGTGGTTGGGGCCATACTCTCTTAACTGGCCAGGGTAGGGGTTTAGGGGCCATGCTCTCTTAACTGGCCAGGGTAGGGTTGTTATACTTCTTAACTGGCCAGGTAGGTGGTTAAATACCCTACCTCTGAACTGGCCAGGGTAGGGTGGTTGGGGCCATACTCTCTTAACTGGCCGGGGGTAGGGTGGTTGGGGCCGCCTCTCTTAACTGGCCAGGTAGGTGGTTTGGGCCATACTCTCTTAACTGGCCAGGTAGGGTGGTTGGGTCCTCTCTTAACTGGCCAGGTAGGTGGTTGGGCCATACTCTCCTTAACTGGCCAGGTAGGGTGGTTGGGGCCACACTCTCTTAACTGGCCAGGGTAGGGTGGTTGGGGCCATACTCTCTTACTGGCCAGGGTAGGGTGGTTGGGGCCATACTCCTTAACTGGCCAGGGTAGGGTGGTTGGGCCATCCTCTTAACTGGCCAGGGTAGGGTGGTTGGGGCCATACCTCTTAACTGGCCAGGAGTGGGTGGTTGGGGCCATACTCTCTTAACTGCCCAGGGTAGGGTGGTTGGGGCCATACCTCTCTTAACTGGTCAGGGTAGGGTGGTTGGGGCCATACTCTCTCTTAACTGGCCAGGGTAGGGTGGTTGGGCCATACTCTCTTAACTGTGAGGTAGGGTGGTTGGGGCCATACTCTCTTAACTGGCCAGGGTAGGGTGTTGAGGGCCATTCTCTTAACTGGTAGGGTAGGTGGTTGGGGCCATACTCTCTTAACTGGCCAGGGTAGGGTGGTTGGGGCCATACTCTCTTTGGCCAGGTTAGGTGGTGGGGCCATACTCTTAACTGGTCAGGGTAGGGTTGTTGGGGGACCATCTCTTAACTGGTCAGGGTAGGGTGGTTGGGGCCATACTACCTCTTAACTGGCCAGGGTAGGGTGGTTAGAGGCCATACTCTCTTAACTGGTCGGGTAGGGTTGTTGGAGCCATACTCTCTTAACTGGTCAGGGTAGGTGGTTGGGGCCATACTCTCTTAACTGGCTGAGGGTAGGTGTTGAGCCATACTCTCTTAACTGGCCAGGGTAGTTTGGGCCGGGTAGAGTGGTTGAGGCCATACTCTCTTAACTGGCCAGGGTAGGGTGGTTGGGGCCATACTCTCTTAACTGGTCAGGTTAGGGTGGTTGGGGCCATACCTTTAACTGGCCAGAGTACGGGTGGTTGAGGGCCATACTCTCTTAACTGGTCAGGTTAGGGTGGTTGGGCATACTCTCTTAACTGGCCAGGGTAGGGTGGTTGAGGCCATACTCTCTTAACTGGCCGGGGTAGGAGTGGTTGGGGCCATACTCTCTTAACTGGTCCAGGTTAGGGTGGTGGGCCATCTCTTAACTGGCCGGGGTAGGGTGGTTGGGGCCATACTCTCTTAACTGGTCCAGGTTAGGGGTGGATTGAGACATACTCTCTTCAACTGGCCCGGGGTAAGTGGTTGGGGCCACTCTCTTAACTGGTCAGGTTAGGGTGGTTGGGGCCATACTCTCTTAACTGGCTAGGGTAGGGTGGTTGGGGCCATACTCTCCTAACTGGTCAGGGGAATTGTTAGGGTGGTTGAGGCCACCTCTTAACTGGTCAGGTTAAGGTGGTTGGGGCCATACTCTCTTAACTGGCCAGGGTAGATGGTTGGGGCCATACTCTCTTAACTGCCAGGTAGGGTGGTTGGGGCCATATATATGTAACTGAGTTCAGGTAGGGTGGTGAGCCATACTGTAACTGGCCAGGCCAAAATGTGAAACATACTCTCTTACGTCAAGAAAGTAATTTAGACATACTCTCTCTTTATCAGTTAGTATGTCTTCTTTCTTCAGCAACATCACGTGCGTCATCTCTTAATGTCTTGTGTGTGCTAAGCCCATGTATTATGGCATGCCACCTTCCTCCTCTTACACCATCACCCACACTCTCTTACCCATCATCACCACCACACCTCACCTCCATCACCACCACCCTCCCTCATACTCTCACCACCACACCACCCCTCATCCTCCTACCACCATCACCAGCACCTCCTCCTATCACACTCACCATCCTCACTCCTACACCACACCTTCATCCTCTACCACCATCATACCACCCCTCCTCACCACCACTCCTCCTACCACCATCACCATCCTCCTCCTACCTCCACCATCACCATCCTCCTCCTACCATCACCACCACCACCCTCTCCTATCATCACCATCCTCCACTCCTACCACCATCTCCCACCCTCCTCCTCCTACCACCACTACCTGCCACCACCTTCTCCTCCTACCACCATCATCACCTCCTCCTACCCACCATCATCACCACCCTCCTCCTCCTACATCACCACTACCCTCCTCCTCCTACCATCACCACACCTCCTCCTCTACATCATCACCACCTCCTCCTCCTACCACCTACATCACCCACCTCCTCCTCCTACCACCATCACCAACCTCCTCCTTACCACCACCATCACCATCCTGCATCATCACCTCATCCTGCATCTACCACCATCA